CATTCATTCAGAGACTATTCAAAGTTGTAACAGGGCTGAACAAATGATAGTTATGCTCCCAAAGTTACAGCTGTTGCAGTGCCCTTGCGGTCACGTGATCAAAATTTGGGTGCTTGGCAGCCTGCCTGCACTTATGACTGCAGGGGCGCTTCAATTTCCCCCCCCCACCCATCTCCTCCCCACCTCTGCCCTTTTTGCTGGGGCCCCACCCCCCCCCCCCCCCCCGGCGGCCCAGGGGGGGTGGAGCAAGGGGCGGAGGGGTAAGGGGAGTGAGGGGCCAGCAGAGCGCAGGGTGGCAGAGCCAGTGGAGTGCAGGGTAGGAGGAGCACAGGGCAAAGGAGTGCAGGGTGGCCAAAAAGGGCAGAGATGGGGAGGAGATAGGTGGGTGGGGGAAATTGAAGCGCCCCTGCAGTCATAAGTGCAGGCAGGCTGCCAAGCACCCAAATTTTGATCACGTGACCGCAAGGGCACTGCAACAGCTGTAACTTTGGGAGCATAACTATCATTTGTTCAGCCCTGTTACAACTTTGAATAGTCTCTGAATGAATGGTTGTTAAGTGAGGACTACCTGTACTAAATAATGTTTTAGTAAAAAATAGAAGGCAATTTAGGTTCATTAGCAACACTAGTAATAGTAGTAATGGTTTCCATCATGTTTCAAAGAGGAAAAAAAAGCATACAGATTAAATTGGACTTGAAAAAATTGAGTAACTAGAAAGCATAAAAGTTTTAATTTTATGCATATGGCCATACTTGAGAGATATAAAGGCTTTGATTGGCAGGTCTCAGGGTTCTCTGTTATAATAAAAAAATTAGGTGACACAGATCTGGTACCCTGAGTTAGTCTGCTAACCAACAAATGAAGTGTGGGCAGCAAAAGTATCCTTTTTAAAAAGTAAATCTTCATTCTTATCATGTGTATTCAAATGACAATTTCTCTGTTATAATAAAAAAATTAGGTGACACAGATCTGGTACCCTGAGTTAGTCTGCTAACCAACAAATGAAGTGTGGGCAGCAAAAGTATCCTTTTTAAAAAGTAAATCTTCATTCTTATCATGTGTATTCAAATGACAATGGAATTGTTACTCCCTAATCTAAGAAATTTTCCCATTTGTATCAGAGTTTGCCAAGAACACACTGCAGAAAAGTATCAGTCCAGTTTTTGACAACTGTTAGAATATAAACAACTCTCCTCCTATTGACATTAACTAGATTTTAAAGGATTTACTTTAGCTAAATAAGGTTTTAACTGTGGATTGACACAGTTCTGTGTTTCAGCCCTTAACATCAAAAGGCCATTGCTTCTATTTAACTCCCATTTACCATAAAATGGTAATTTTATTCTGCTAAAATTAAACCACATACATTAAAATTGTAAACTCACCAATGATGCTGATAGTTTAACAGCATACTCTTCTTCAGAAAATGTAATTTTTGCCTATGTTCTGGTTTATTAAGATCATATTCTTTTGTACAAACATGTCTGCATGAGTCCTTTTCGTTAAATATAAACTGTGAAAAATGAAAAATATTTAGGTTACACGGAATGCTATCTTAAAATCTATAGCAAAGTTAAGACAGAAACTTTAAACAAATAGATGCTAGTTGACAGCTGTGGATTCATACTATTATTGAGTCAATGCATGCAATCAAGACATCACTTGTTAATGGCTGCACTACCTTTTCTGCATAAACTCATATTTCTAATGCAATTTTTAATTTAACCAAATGCTACAAAGCTGTAATCCAGCTATTCTATATCCATTTGTTTCTCTTAAGCAAGTCAAGAATATGAACCAAGCTTTCTTGAACCTACAGTATATGGAAAAAGAAATCAGACTACCAATTCAGAAGGACTCAGCTTACAGGTTAACAGTTAAGTTACACTTTTCTATAGGGCAGATTCTTCCAAGCATGTGGGGGTAGAATTGCAAACACATGACAGTAATGAAACCTGAGTGGCATTTTCATATGTTGGCTTCTCCAACTTTGAAGGGCTCCAATAAGCACCAAATAAAATGGCTGATATTTAATTATAGCTGCTGTCCCATCAAGACCAAAATAGAAATCAGATAATAAAATCAGTATTAAAAACAGAAGGTAAATATTATGATGGGTGTACAGAGCAATTCTAGCACATCCTTTCCCAACCTTCCACATGTATCGCATTATGATTCCCATCTGAGGGCTACCTAAGATGATAGGAATTGTAATTCACTGCATCTAGAGAGCATCAGGTTAAGAAAAAATGTACTATGTGATACAGAGTCTGCAAAATAAAGGCCTCAGTGGATCACATGAATGTTATTTGATCACCTTTAATGCAATAATACAATATAATAAGTTTTGCAAAAAGAAACACCATGCCTCAATGGAAAGAAACAGCCATATGCTGAAAACTTAATTCCACATTAAGTGAGTTTCTGCAAATGTATGAGTAGATCCTGGGGTTTCTTACAGAGCACCCTCAACTTAAACTTTGGTGGTAATTCATGCTGCAGTCATGGCCTAAGGCTGTACAATTAAAAATAATACAACCACAATTAATATGACAAATCTGAGGTTTCAAATCTAGTTGTTGGCCCAGGAAAACAAAATACCAGTAACCTCCAAGCATTCCTAAATTAATAAATTAGCATATAATCACAATCTACAATTCTTATGCAGCCCAAACAACTTTTGTTAAGGTAGAAAGAAGTTTTTCAGAAAACTCAGTTCTTTTAAAACTTGGGCCTTTTCCACTCTATTGCCTGAAACCACCTTAAGCTTGACGCAGATCTGCTTGTGCTGCATGTCACCTTCTGGCTAATCAACAGAAAGCAGTGTCTGCCCAGATAAGTGATATGCCCTAAGAAAAGAAAAACAGACTGTGTCAGGCAATAGATAGTACTAGGGCTTACTAGAGGATGTACAGCAGTTCAGCATGCTGGTAAGACAAGTGATGGCTGTGTGAAAACAGACTCACCAGCAGAGCTACGGTCATGTGAAAAAGTACAGCCCATTGAAATTTTTGAAGTTTTCAACGTATTTCAACATACAGATATTTGATCTTCATTTCAACAATATTGATAGATAAAACGGATATGACGAATATAATGCACTACTTACATTTTGTAGTCCATTGTATCATCTACAAGTGGAGAAGATTTCAAACTGCCAACTTGCCTAGGCCAGGCCCTTTGAGCAACTTCAGCCTGAGAGCAGATGCTGAAAGAAGTCTCTAAGAACCCCAGAATTTCATCACGTGACCTACAGGTAGCTCTCACCATTATTGACAGCAAACTGCATGAGTCTATCTTTAGAAAGGAGCTGCACAAATTAGAACTACATGAGAGGTGTGTCAGGAGGACACCTTTGTTTGTCCAAAAAGAACATCAGGGCAAGACTAAAGTTTGCTCATGAACATCTAGGCAAAACCACGACTTCTGGAACAAAGTGCTCTGGATAAACGGGGCAAAGATAAGGTTATTTGGCCACAGTACCAGAAGATGTTTGGTGAAATATTTCACCCAGAAGATCCTGATACCAACTGCAAAGCACAGTGGTGGAAATGTTATGGTTTGGGGCTGCTTTGCTGCATCAGGGCCTGATGGACAGTTTGCTACATCATGGGCCACATGGTGAACCGATAGGACAGTTCACCATCATAGAATCCACCATGAATTCTTCACTGTACCAGAGGGTGCTTGAGGAATAACATGAGACCATCTGTCAGAAGACTGAAACTCAACCAAAAGTAGACCTTGCAAGATGCCAGTGACCCTAAACAAACCAGTAAATCCACCAGGAATGGATGGGAAAAAAAAAGAAAAGAAAAGAAATGAAGGGTTCTGGAATGGCCAAGTCAAAGCTCAGATCTAAATCCCACTGAGATGCTGTGGGGTGATTTGCAATCGGCTGTGTATGCAAGAAACCCCTCCAACACTCCACAGCTGAAAACATTCTACATGGAGAAGTGGGAAAAAATTCCTTCCAGCTGATGTTGGAGACAGACAGCTATAAGATATGCCTACTTGAGGTTGTTTCTGACAAAGGGGACCATACCAGGTTTTAGAGCCAAAGATGTACTTATTTTTTCCAGAGAAGGAAATGGTATATCTGTTTTGTGTTGAATAAATCATTGTAAAGTCAGTTTTTCATAGATTTTTGTTAAATGATATCACCTTCATCTTTATATACTGTTTAATGAAGATAAAATATTGATTTGTCACATATGTTAAAAAAGAAAAAAAAACTTTACATGGGATGTACTTATTTTTTCACACGACTGTACCTTTTTCACGTCTCCACAATGCAATGCCTGATATTCAGACGTTCAGTATTGGCACTGCAGTGTGAGAAAATCAAATGGCATCAGCAAGTCTGACTAAGTGTCAAGTGAAAGCTGCTGCCAGATTGCCTCCTGTTAGCCAGACAACCAAGCACATGGAATATAAGCAGCTGCATTCACCAGTGCCATTTTAGTTTCCACACAAGTATCTCCATCAGGGAATTGCACTGTGAGAAATGCAAAATGAGGCTATATCAGCAAATCGAATTAGACTACTGTTGTTAATGGAAGCAGCAGCAAGCAAAAAAATCAGAGCAGGCCCTAACATTTGTGGGCCCCTCCCAAGTCTGTAACATTGGGCCAAGAATGCTGCATACCGGCACCTCCCATGCAATAAATCTGCCCAAGTTTAGTTTTCATCACAATGGGATTCACGCTTTCTATTTTGCAAATTCTACATTTGTTCAGTTGTTCAAACAAAGATTATACCTTGTAGGGGGATGGCTCAATCCTCTCACCAAACAATACTTGACCAAGGTTTTCAGAAGGTCGTTTTCCTCCCTCTGCTTGACAAAAATCAAATCTACACAAAAATATAGATTTATAAAATTCAAACATCTTAGTATGAGTTAAAATATTTCATGTGAACATCCATCTGGACATCACTTTTTACCAAAGGTCCAGTTATTTCTTAAATAATTTTAAGTAGCTTATAAGTTTTCAGAAATTAACACTTTCAATCATATTTTGGAACTGTTTCAATATATCTCACCAATAAGTCAAATCTTTATTTTGGTCCCAAATAAAACAGGGGCAGTCAAGCAAACAACAAATAAAAGAAAGTAACACATCAGAAAATGTTATCTTAGGTGACACCCTACACATGAATATATGATTAATAGAATATATATTAATATTCTAACAACAAATTAATAGTAATATTTTGCTGTAATCCTAAAGCTAAAATCATATTGTTTAAAACTAAAACTATAGTAAAAGCAAAAAATTGGAATCTGGGAAACTATATTATATTAATGTCACTAAACTTCTGTATTTAAAACTATTGCATATGGTCAAGGAGGAAGCGTAAATCCCTTTGTTACTATGCATACAGCAGTAAAGTCCTTTATCATCCATTTGTTGATATCTTCAGTCTGTGAGTGACAGCAGTCAAAGGGTGTCAGCTCCTGCTTAATTTTGGAGGCAGTATAACAAAACTTGGCAACATCCAAAGAAACAGTCCAACTAGTCAGATGGAAGAAACTGCATGCAGAAGGAATCAGTATGCCCTGGATATTTTTCTATGTGAGGAAAGATAAAGCAAACTCCATCCCATAATATAACATGAGCAGTGGATTCTATAGCACCTGTGCTGCATGGGAACAGTTAGGAAATATATGGTACTTATATCTGCCTTCTAATACAGTCTACGGCAGGACAGTAGACCAAGGTAATGTTAGAGAACTTCTAAGTTTGAAAATTGGGACAAAATTTAAATATCTTCAGGCCTAAACAAGGGAGACCAACTATTTAAAATATGCTTTTGGACAGGTGAGACTGGTCCGATTGTCTTTCCATCCCCAGAAAAAAGTTGGCCTTAGAAAATCCATAAAAATGCAATTTCTCTATTATGTATCTAGACTCTTCCATCTGGCATTACGATGATCTACTAATGTCAGAGGGGTCAAGCCTTCAAAACAAGTGTGCTTATAACTAATATTCTCAATGCCCTATATTGAGGACCACTAGTGCAGCACTAATGATATTCCCTGTGAAACTCTATGGAAGTAAAAGTTGGACTTTGAAGAAGCAGGATAGAAAGAGTATTGATGCTTTTGAACTTTGGTGTTGGTGAAGACTCCTGAGAATACCATGGACAGCCAAAATTAAACAAATGAATCACTTAATAAATCAACCCTGAGTTTTCACTCAAGGAACAAATAACCAGGTTCAAATAATCATGTTTCAGACATGTTATGCAAAGGCACAGTTCTCTGGAAAAGGCTCTAATTCTGGGAAAGGTTGACGAGGAAAAGACGATGATCAGTAGTTAGGTGGATGGTGGTTATAGTGGCAATAGGTACACCATTGGAAGGACTTGAACTACCAGGTTAGGGACAGATTATCATGGAGAAAATCTATCTATGTGGTCACTAAGAGTTGACACCAACGTGATGACACATAATCAATCAACCAACCAATGCAACACCAGCAAGCATCATGGCACCTTGCATAATCCTAAATGACAATGTTTGCTTAGAAAGTATTAAAACAAAAAGAAAAATGCTTTAAGCTTTTTGAATTAAAAAAAAAACCAAAAAAATATTATGAATGCTATATCTTATAAGATCTGCATTCTTTTGTAAGGTCTCATAACTTTTTCATCTTTAATTTTTAAAAATTATGCTTGGGAAAAAAGGGTTGGTTTTCAGTTATATTGTTTTTCTGCATCAAGGTGTACAGGAAGGTTAATAAGTTCTGATAAATTTGGAATTTAATTAGTTTCTGAATTAGTATGTAGAACATTTTTACTTATGAGATTCTAAAATACAATAGATCACAAGTGAAATAAACACTATTAGACTGATATTATGACCACAACTATATTATGGAACAAAATGTTGTCCCAAGTTTGCTTAGAATAGTAGACCTAAATTATAAAATTAACTTCTACTGAAGTTAAATTATAAAATTAACTGAGCAAGTGAATACTGTCCTCAGGACAAACGTTCGGAATAGAATTTAGCAAGCCGAATATGGTACCAAGTAACTAATCTCAAGGGCAAAAGTATTTTTCCCACTGTACCTGATTGGGATAGCCATTCCTTTTTTAGCTTGGCAAAACATTCAGAAAGTAGTTCAGTGTTACAAACCAAGTTATGGATAAGATTTAATGTACTTACGCAGTATATTCGTAAGGAAGGACAGATTCCACAGAGTCCAGTCTATTTACAAATAGTTCTATCGCAGACTGCAAACAGCAAGAAGACATTATTAGAGATAATTAATTTAATCCATACTAGTTACCTCAGCTATAGGAAATGTGATTAAAGTATTTTGAACATTATTATTTTATTTAGAACAACTGAAGTCTCAAGGGAATTTGTTTTTATTGAATTCTATTTTCCACCAGCTAATGGACCTAGTTGGCCTTAAGATTCTCTCTCTTTAGGATACCTATATTTCCCAAATCTGGTGCACGTGGTTGGTGGCAGCTTCTAGAACAGATCAGGGAGTTGGGACAAGGGTTACTTCTTTTTATGCATGTAGTCCATAGGAAGAAGTACAGTAGGAGGCATCGTTAAACAACAGACTCATACCGGACGATTAGAAAATCTGTATAAGAAACCATGCTTCTTATACAATTTAAATAAATAAATAAAGGTTATTACTGAAACAATATTTTATCAACAAAAATTCAAATTATTAATAGAATTGGAAATGGTAAATTGCATAAAATAATCTTCTCAACATGGAAAACATATAAGATATAATTAGAAACAATTAGACTAACAGGATTGGGCGGCTCACAATCAAAACCAAAAACTCAAGCATTCAAAAACAATAACATATAAATAATTAAAATTAATTAACCAATTAAAATTAATTAATCAATTAAAATCTGACTATAAAACAACCCTATACATAAATACTAAAAAAAAACAAAACATTCAAGACGATGGGGAGGCAAGATCAATTACCCCACAAGCCACTTCCACTGGTGGGAGCCCCCATCCAGCCCCCAGGCCTTCTGGCATAGCCCGGTTTTCACTCCTTTCCTGAAGGCCATGAGAGTGGGGGCACACCGCACCTCAGGAGGTAGATTGTCCATAGAGCGGGGGCCACCGCAGAAAAGGCCCTCTTTCTAGATCCCATCAGTCGGGGGCCATATCAATTTTTGTAACTGTTAATTTTTTATCAATTATCCACTGCATGAAGAAGTGCTTTCATTTGTATGCATTCTGGAGAGGACAATTAATGGACAGATTTATTTTTATTTATTTCTTTAGGACTGTCAACAGTATACTACTGCAACAGAGTAATACAGGGAAAATGCCAGTTTGAGAATGGCATTTTTTATGTACTAACTTACTATGATTAGTTTAACCATAATTTATTGAACATGCCATAATTGAACACACATGATTTACCAAGTGCTAAGCCATAAACCATAGTTTATAAACTA